TTCCCAAAACTAAAAAATGTAACAAAGTACATTTCTAATCACATTTATGAACAACTAAACTCTTTAAAATCACAACGGCTGACAGAATTTAAGACTAATCAATACTTGCTAGTGGAAAACTGCTTCATAATTTGGCAATGCCAGACTGATAAACAAATGAAGTATTACAGAAAATGCCTATTAAATGAAATTACGTATACATGCAAGTCCAGAGTTCCATGGCACTTGTACTGATGGAAAATATCTGTGAAAGATTAGTTATCAACTTAACTAGTAAAACTTCAGGGTCCATAAAAATATTTATATTCTGAAAACAAACTCACTGTAACAATTTCACGAGACTAGTTGCTCAGTGTTTAAAAAGAAGCAGCTATAAACAGTAATAGAAATGGAGTAACTACAGAGAAGCTAGAAACTAAGAGCACTCTCAGCATTCTCAGGAAATAGATCAATTTGCAAAGCACTCTGATATGATATTTTAATCTACAGTGCCAGTTTAGTGACTTCCAGAGACCTGTTTTAAAACAGTGACTGAGTGAATTTTTTCTCTGAGTTTAGAAATGTAGTGTTTCTTAAAATTAAATAGTAATATGATGGTAAACACCAAACAGGATGACTTGTGCAATTGAAGTAGTAGTCAAATCTAAAATCTAACTTGTAATTAGCTTTCCTTCAGGTACTATCTCTAGGAAGTACATAAAGAAATTTCCAGGGAAGATTCCATTTTCTTTGAAAGTAATATTTGAACCAAGTAAGGCCAAGTTCATATATAATGCTACGCCAAAACATGGCTATGTGACAACACATGAGCATGTAGATACTCACAGTAAAAACAGTGGCTGCTTCTTTTCAGTTTTCCTGCTGCCAAACTACAAGAACCAAAAACCGAGGTTCACACAAAATGCTAAGCCAGACTAGGGAAGGAGTAATCAGCCACAATTTTTTTCCTGTAGGTGCCCATGTGCTCTGACTTCCCTAAGGTTTGGCATAGTGTTATGTGCCAATCAAGTCTCTGTCCACTTTACCGAATGCCCCCTCCCTCAACAAACTTCACTTCAAATACTTTTTGCTATTGCAATGGTTCCCAATTAGCTAAGTATTGTTTTTGAAAAATCAAGCCATGGAACCCCAACTTTTGAAAATTTTGATATCTCCATGGTAGTTTTTGTTATGTGAATGGTTCCATGGACTCCCTGTGTGGGTTACGTGGACCTCCTGGGGTCTGTGGACCACCAACTGGGAACCACTGGCCTATTGGAAATCTTTTAACAAAGTTAGCCTGAAATATTTTGTTGTCGTTTTTACTAAAAGTAAATCAAAACACACGTGCAAGGTTACGAGCTCCTCAGCTACAGAACTGTCAAATTGTTCTATGTAAAGTGCCATAGATTAAACTAGAGAAATCAACATTGATATAGGGTAGAATAACAGTTTTCAAAAGATCTGCATCACTGTATTTAAATCAGCCACAATTCTAGGCTTGACAGGACTCTCAAGCCTTCCTTTAAAAAGCCCTTAAGCAGAGAGGCTTCAAAGATCCATATGGCTGCAACAAGTCACACATTAGGTCTGATCTAGCACTTACTAGATCTAGATCTACCTACTCAAGTTAGGTGGTAAAGATGTGAGAGCACACATGACTGAATTCTCTTCCATACAAAATTTCTCTCAGACATGTGAGAAGAGCTGTAGCTTGGCATTTTGCCCAACATCTAGCTCAGTTGTCTATGTCAGTGTTTCCCAACCGGTGTTCCGCGGCACACTAGTGTGCCGCGAGACGTTGCCTGGTGTGCCGTGGGAGGGAGGCGGGCGAGGCGGGCGGCGAGAGGCGGGGCGGCGGCGGCGAGGATCCGCGTCGAGCCGGGGGCGGCTCCGCGGTGGTGGTGCCGAGGTTTCTCTCTCCATTCTCCCCTCACACACACACACAGGAAATAACACAGGATCAGCTGACAGGACCCGGCCAATGGGGCGGCGGCGAGGCAGCGCGCGCAAAAGGGAGGAGCGCGAGACAGCGGACGAGGAGGAGGCCGGCATGTCCGGGCAGCAGCAGCAACAACAGCAGCAGCAACTCCCGGCGACGGCTCCTCAAGCCCCGGGCAACCCTACTCCCTCACCGGCCTCGGCCGCCCTCCTGCTCCACCCGCCGCCGCCTCCCCCGCCGCCGCCGGCCACCTCGGCCCCGCCGCCGCCCCCTCTTCCGCCCGCTATCACCGCCACCACCACAACAGCCGCCGCCGCCTCAGCTGGGCCCATGCCTGCCGGGAGCGGCGGCGGCAGCAGCAGCGCCCCGGCGCCCTTCCCTCACGGTGGCAACCCGGCCCTGAACGAGCAGGAGAAGGAGCTCGTGCGTCCCTCCCGGCGTGACGCTGCGCGCTGACGTCACGGGGCTGTAATGGTGGTGTGCCTCGAGATTTTTTTCATCAAACAAGTGTGCCTTTGCCCAAAAAAGGTTGGGAAACACTGGTCTATGTAAAGGAAACGCCTTGCATGCTGAAACATTCAGCTCCATAAATGCAGCAGTACAAACCAGACAGAGCTCTGCTACTTGAGTGAGATCTTGACTGTATTTTCCAAACTAAAATTAAACCAATAACCAGGTGACCCTCCCAATTAGAAATGCTAAATATGTGCTCTATTGAATTGCCACCAGGAAACCAGTCTCACAGTACAATTATTGCCATGTCTACTCAGAAGCAAGCCTCACCGAGCTCAACGCAACTCATTTCCAGGTAAGAATCAATATTTTCTGGGGGAGTTTCTTCAGGAAACATGCAAAGCAACATCGCCTATGAGGGTCTAGCAGCTGATGTGCTATGCTTTCACGACAATTCAGGCTGATACCAACTATGAAAATCTTCCCCTGCCCCCAGACAAATGCATGCATGAATGAAACTGACTAAAGCAATTAAGTCACACTTTTATCTTCTACCCAGTCAGGGCATAGATAATTATTGATTATAATCAATATCTACTGGAATAATCAAACTTGAACAATAAAGGGCAACTTAGCCTAAAACTTGGGGGGTAATAAACTATTGGCTATGCAGTATTGTTGCATTAATCAGATCACTAATCAAACTTTCTCCCCTTCAGGCCCTCCCCCCAATCAGCTCCAGAGGGTTGAAGGCGACACCAGAGCAGATTTTGGGAGTGGAACCTCAGTGGTTCAGCACTGGATACCACAAAATAAAAACCTCCACAATAAGACTGCTGGCTCCTAATACATAAGCTAACACCTAGGACTTTCCCCCCTTTAGCTCCATTTTTTTTCTTGTTCCCTTAACCACCTGTAGCAAAAGCAGACAAATTTACTTATTACACCAAGAAAGGAATCCAAGGATCCAAGAAACTGAACAAAAGACACTGGCTTCAGGTGATAATGCACATCAATATGAAATTATGGAATAGGCTTCCTAAGTGGAGGACTTCCCGTGGAGAATGGAGGAGTAGGAACAGTCATCAAAACCTTACGGACAAAATTATTGGGAAGACAATGCTACCAATGAAAGGGTGTTAAATTACACCTGAATAAGCTACTTTTAAAGTCCTTCAGTGTTTTCACAAATTGCTGTAAAATCTAATTTAAGGGTGGCACGGTGTGTGGGTTGTCTTTAAAAACTGGCAAGGTAATGGCCCTGGTCCAGTGACCGAGACAATACATATTGTTGACAGAGTTCACCGTTCTGAGTCCCAACATATCAACTTGGCTCAAAAGTCTCCATTTTGTCTGGAAAGGTCTAACAAATTAGAAGTATATTTTTAGGTTCCCACATTATACCAAATGGAAAAGAATACCCCAGCCCTCTACATGCTGGCCTGGGAACTCACAGGTTTAGCAAAAGCAAATGGAAACTTTTATCTTCCTCCACTTCCTAATTCAATCAAGACAGCACTATCAACTGGCTACTAACAGGATATTCAAAAATCTTCTTTGTTCACTGATAAATCATCTTTCCATGACTACCTTAGTCTTTCATATTGTTCATTTCTAATATAGCTTAGTTTGGTTTCAAGAGAGCAGCCAGTGTGGTGTAGTGGTTAAGAGCGGTAGACTCGTAATCTGGTGAACCGGGTTCACATCTCTGCTCCTCCACATGCAGCTGCTGGGTGACCTTGGGCCAGTCACACTTCTTTGAAGTCTCTCAGCCCCACTCACCTCACAGAGTGTTTGTTGTGGGGGAGGAAGGGAAAGGAGAATGTTAACCGCTTTGAGACTCCTTCAGGTAGTGATAAAGCGGGATATCAAATCCAAACTAGGATAAACTCAGTCTAACTGAACCCTGGAGCTCCTGGTTTTGGGTGCCTGCCTCTGACACTAAATTCTTCTTGGGCTTACTACTGTCCCTTCTCATTCCCCTGTCTGGTCTGGTCTGCAAAAGATAACCTATAAATTGCCTTTGGTTTTACTCTCCCTTAGTAAACCTTTTTATACCCTCCAACATTTCTCCTATGAAAATAGGGACGTCCCATTCCATAATGATAATTTTACTATTATACCCTAGCCACTCTGGGTGGCTTCCAACATATATAAAAACATAATAAAACATTAAACATTAAAAAAGCCTTCCTTATACAGGATTGCCTTCAGCTGGCTCGGGGGTCGGATAACTCCACACCCTCCAACATTTCTCCAATGAAAATAGGGACATCCTAAGGAAAAACAGAGCATTCCTATATGAAATCAGAAACCGGGCGGCTTCTCTAAATCAGGGATGTCCCTGGAAAATACGGACACATGGAAGGTCTGCCTTTTCTGTTGAAGCTCTGATACAATCTCTGTTGTTCCCTTCCCAAGTACCTTTTAAAGGCACCCCACTACCAACAGAAGGGGTGTCAAAAATTAAACTGCAGTCTAACACTTCTTTGGGTGATTTAAAGTAAATTGGAAATATTTTTTGCTTCCTGGTTGTTAAACAATGGGAAAAAGTTGAACTGCTAAAAATGATGAAAAATAGGGAAGGCAGCCAGAAGGCACAAATAATGCATTCAGTTCAGGTCTGATAATCAAACCAATTCCTCAACTCAGAATTCTTTAATTCTAACTGAATATCTTGTATGTATTGGGCTACAGTTAGTTAGTTGTTTTTTTTACAAGAACCTTGAGATCCACTAAGAAAGCCTGAAATGTCATCTCTGAACTAGAATAAAAAGATATGCTCTTGTGTATTCTGAAAACATGCTAGTTTCTGGGCCAACTCCAATGTACTGACAGCAGCCTATCCTCTTGCAGATGAGAGCCTGGGACACAGGACACAATGCAGAGCCTCCCTCACCTAGTCCTACAGTCATATTTTCTCTTCACAACTGGTGTTCCCGAATACCATTTTTTTCTGAACAGTAAGTTTCAAAGACATACAGAAACATGTCCCAAGCGAGTCTGATAAAAATACACTTACTAAGATAGGCAGTAACATGAATCAGTCTCAACTCACTTGCTCTTCAATAACTTTTTGTTTTAAAAATTACATGATAAGTGAGTTTAGTTAAATAAACAAAATGAAGCTTAGAATTACATTTGTTTTATTTCTTTTTAGTTACTGTTTACTTTATCTTTTGAATATTTTTAAATACTTGTTCTAAAGTGTTTTTATCAATAAATTTAACCTTTTATTTTATATTTTTGTAAAGCACTTAGCAGTTGTATGCAATCAAGTGGTATATGGAGTTTATTAAAAATAAGTAAGGAAACATGAAACAAATGTGAGTCAAACTCAGGAGATATTTATTATCATATATGAAACTAAAGTGGAAGAGAAGTTTGAGAAACTATGCTTAATCATAAAATGCAGCCTGTTCTATACTTCCTCCCTTTAAACTAGATTGCATTTTACTGTTGCACACAAACGCATGCACTCACAAAAAAAACAATAACAGAAAAAAGAAAAACTAATAATACAGAGTTGCAGTATAAAATAAGAACAGCAAACCAGTATACCAAATTACAATCATACTTCACTAAATATCAAAAGAATGAGAATAATGGAGCTGGAGGGGTATGGGTAGATCCCTTCCAGTTAATATATTCAAGGGAAACCAATCTGCATAATTTCTGAGACACTCAACAAATATATACTCTGTGTGTGTGTGTGTGTGTGTGTGTGTGTGTGTGTATGCACGCGCACGCGTGCTTCAAACACTATCAGTGCTTTTTTTTAAAAAAAAAAAACTTCAAGGGATCCCATTATGTACTGAATATATTCTCATCTAAATAACATACCAAATGTTTAAAATATTACTTTGCTGGCATGCTGAAACTAGGATCCTGGCCAGGGTTCAACTAACAAGTCCTGCTAGCAGAAGCTTGCACAAGGACTTCCACCAGTTCAATGGGTCTTCCTCATCTCCTTTTCCCGCGCCACCCCAAACTGGCTTGGGGGGCATGAGACCTCCTTCCACCCTGAACAGCAGGTGGAGGGAGGACAGAGTGGCTCTTTCCATCTGGCAAGCTAAAAAGGTGATGGAATGATTGCCATAGTGTTACGTCGAATTCCTCTGTGTTCTACATCATATGACGAAGGCTGTAATCCTACAGCTGGCTACACTATGGATCACATGCATGATCCAATGAATGCAGAGAGACATACTATTTCTGAATAAACCCATAGGATAGCAATGTGCCACACATTCTAACAGTAGGAGTATTATTTTCCAAGGAAATTTCTACCACTTTAGCCAACATAGGGAGATAGCCAGTTAATAATAATAATAATAATAATAATAATAATAATAATAAATTTTATTTATATCCCGCCCTCCCTAGCCGAAGCTGGGCTCAGGGCGGCTAACAACAATCAAAATAGTCCAACATTCTAAAAACATTCATTATAAAATTAATTAAATCAAATTAAAATCAAATTAATGGCAACCATCAAGCAGAATTCTGTGCAGATTGCCAGAGGAGGGGGTCAGGCTGCGCCCTGACCAAAGGCCTGGTGGAACAGCTCTGTCTTGCAGGCCCTGCGGAAGGATGTCAGGTCCTGCAGGGCCCTAGTCTCTTGTGACAGAGCGTTCCACCAGATTGGAGCCGCGGCCGAGAAAGCCCTGGCTCTAGTTGAGGCCAGCCTAACCTCTCTGTGGCCTGGGATCTTTAGGATGTTTTTATTTGCAGACCGTAAATTTCTCTGTGGGACATACCAGGAGAGGCGGTCCCGTAGGTACGAGGGTCCTAGGCCGTATAGGGCTTTAAAGGTTAAAACCAGCACCTTAAACCTGATCCTGTACTCCACCGGGAGCCAGTGCAGCTGGTATAGTACCGGATGGATATGATCTCGCAGCGAAGACCCCATAAGGAGTCTCGCCGCGGCATTCTGCACCCGCTGGAGTTTCTGGGTCAGTCTCAAGGGCAGCCCCACGTAGAGCGAGTCACTGAGTAGATCCATGGACACCAATGCTTTTCGTTATTTAAATTCATTTTATTTCAGTTTGTTTGCACTGAGTATGACTAATGCTGGATATCATACATATACACATAAAAGGTCAGAAACCAGGGCTTCACTGTGAAAGTTGATTGATTTGACGTGACCCCCGCTAATTGATTTGCGATCCTCAATTAGCTATTTATGGCCGCCCGGCACACTTCCGCTCGGAGCTCTCAGTCACGCCTCAGCAGAGTTGAAACACAGCGGTGGAAAACTGTCACGTAGCTTGGCCTAGCTTCCAGACAAACACACACAGTACAGGTTTGTCTATTTACAGTTGTTTATTCCGACATTCCCCAGGATTCTCCTGGACTCACCGCAGCCATGACCTTCCCTCTCACAAGACCGAGAGGAACAGAACGAAACTCCTCCCAGCTTCGAAAGCTGACGTCAGAATGCTGAGGCATCATGGGAACAACTTAACCAGTTAAGTTCCAAACCTCACACCCCCTCTTGCCGAACCATTCTGACAAGACCTTTTTTGATTTCAACACCTTCCCCTTTGCCTTGTGCCCCTTCCCGGCATCTTTCCCAGGCACCTGTTGAACCCCTTCAACATTCCCAGAATCACACTGTGCGACACTTTCCCATGCACTCGTGACCTGAAACCCCTCTGACCCACTTGGGCCAGCAGTTGTGTCTTCTCCGTCAGACTCTTCCCCCTCTGACTTGACAACCCGTCTGTGAGCTTTCTCCATTACGTTAACCGGAGATGAAGCCTCACACCTGGACACTCCTTTCACAACCCTTGGAGATGCCCAAACCTGCCCTGAACCCTGATCCTGGACCTGGTCCCCATCACCGGGTTCTGAACCCTGATCCTGGACCTGGTCCCCATCACCGGGATCAGCCTCTGCCTCCCTCTCCTCCCCTTGAGGAGACTTTGCACCCGTCACCTGGTGATGTATTCCCTTTTTCTTGAAAAACTCCTCCAGAGCAGAACCAGTAAACTGTGACCCTCGGTCGCTCTTGAACCCTTGCACCCTGGTGGAGAACCTTCGTTCTACCTCCGCAACCCAATCCTGGATCAGTTGCGCCGCCTCCCCCTGTGATTTGAGAGAGAGACACCAGCCAACCTGGCTGTGGTCATCTGTCAGTGACAGCACATACCTGGCCCCACCCAGACTCTCACACCTCATGGGTCCTGACAGATCTGTGTGAACCAGCTCAAAGGGCTCTTTGGCTACCCTCCCAAACCCGGGAAAACCAAGTACCTTTGCACCTTTGCATGCCCTGCACCTTAGGGACCTCCCACATTTCCGGAGTTCGCACCCTTTTGTGCACCTGGGCAACTTCTGCACATCTTTGGGAACCTTAGCACACTTCGCCTGTGCTTTTCCAGCATTCCCACCACCCTCCAGAGGTGACTCCAGAACAAAGAGATTGTCTTTGCTCTTCACGTTGACCAATTGTTTCCCCCCTCTGAAAATGGAACAGGTGTCATTTTCAAAGCAAACATTGTATCCCTGCTTCATTAGAGCTGATACAGATAACAAACAACAATTCAGTCCCGGCACAACGTAGACCTCTAGCTCCTCCTGTAAAGGAGAAAAAAACACGTTAGCCACACCACAGACTGCTTTTTGGGTTCCGTCTGCGAACATAACAGTCAATCCAGTTGAAACAGCCCTGCAGTCCCGCATTCCGCCTGCAGGCTCGCTTATCAGGTGACGACTGATATCCAAAACCCAGCGCGTCACCGTGTCCTGGCTGGAGTTGTTCTTCACAGTTGCCATAGAAGCAGTGATAAGAAAACAACCCTCCCCAGTGTCTGAGCCACGTCCTTCCCTTGCGTTCCCACGCTGGCCTCCTCTCCGAGACTGATTCCCATGGAAACCCAGCTGGCTGACCTTGGCGAATTTGGCAACATCCTGCCCTGCCTCTCTGCTCCGGTGGGGGCAACTGCCACGCAGATGTTGAACTCCAGTGGAAAAACACTGCCCGGGGCTCCTCCCAGCTGGCCTCCTTCTCCTTCTTCCGGAAAAGCACTCCTTGCCAGCTCTGCCCCCTCTGAACCGCCACTTCATTCCAGCAGGCTTCTTAAACTTGCCTTTGGAATTCTTCGCCCCCCCCGACCTGCTCACCAGCGCTCCTTGAGGCTAAAACATCAGGAACAGGGGCTACAGCCATCTCTAGGCTTTTGTATTCCTTCTCCAGGGCTCTGGCCTCCTGCTGAAGCTTCACAGCAAACGCAGCAGTACATCCCCAGACAGCCCTTGCTCAACTTCTTAGAGTGAGCCGTTCAAACGCAATGTCCTCCAAGACCTGGCTGCCTGCCATTGTCTTCCGTTCTCCCAAGGGGCCCCAAGCTGTACTCACCAGCTTATTCAGCACCCATCCGTGGAGAAACGATTCCTCAGCACAGGCAAACACTTTGCGTCTTTCAGCCAGCTGCTCTCTTAGCTCCGCAGCTCTCTTTGCCTCTTAACACCAGGCAAAATCACTCCGCCTCCTGCCGCAGCTCCTTTGCTCTAAACCGCAAACTTCAAACGCATTCCGGCAGCACCAGTGACAGTTTTACGAGCGGTAATTAAGTACCCATAACCTGTGAAAGTTGATTGATTTGACGTGACCCCCGCTAATTGATTTGCGATCCTCAATTAGCTATTTATGGCCGCCCGGCACACTTCCGCTCGGAGCTCTCAGTCACGCCTCAGCAGAGTTGAAACACAGCGGTGGAAAACTGTCACGTAGCTTGGCCTAGCTTCCAGACAAACACACACAGTACAGGTTTGTCTATTTACAGTTGTTTATTCCGACATTCCCCAGGATTCTCCTGGACTCACCGCAGCCATGACCTTCCCTCTCACAAGACCGAGAGGAACAGAACGAAACTCCTCCCAGCTTCGAAAGCTGACGTCAGAATGCTGAGGCATCATGGGAACAACTTAACCAGTTAAGTTCCAAACCTCACAAGTTCCAAACCAAAAAAAGAAACACATCTACATTTTGTGTGCTGTGTCAATTGAGAATATAGTTGCCAAAAAGAATGATACCCAAATAAATTACATTTATTTTCAAGTACACCATACTCACAGTTCAATGGCTTTATTCCACATGATGACATAGCCTGAGAGAGAGAAGGACTCCACATTTACAATGTGTATATTTCCTCTTTCAGTGCCTACATACAGCCATTTACTCTGGAACGGCATATGGCAAAATGTTATCCTGAAAGACAAAACATAAAAAATTGAATTAAAAAATGCACCTTATCTAAACCCTAAAATTGACGATAAATATCAAGGAAGGCATGCTATTGCACTTCATGTCTAGAGTTTATGCTCACAAAAGCTTGTTTAATTCACACCCAGGTAAATAAAATTTTCTCTAACTTAGGTCTCTGCTTTTCAATAACAGATCATTAGTTCTCAACCGTATCTCCAAAACAGTTTTAAGAATGTGTCGTTCTGTTAACACATGCAACGGGAACACTAGCTGCCCATCTGCAACACATATAGAATGCTAGGTCTCTATGCCTTTAAAATGGGGTGAAATGGAGAACTGTTCCTATACAAACATGAGAAATAACAAATGAAACAACTTAGAAAATCCATGATGAATGATTCTGCAAGAGTATACAAGACATTTCTGCTCTCACAAAAAAATCAGAGCAAAAGACAACCACTTAGCCGAGACAGAATCTCTTTATTTTACTTCAATAATGGAGAATATTTGTAGAATAGACTCATTCCATAAAAAAAAATCTGAAGTGCCCACTATTCTGAATTTGTTTCAAAGATCTGCTGTGCAACAGTAATTTCATCCATAGCCACTCTCGGTTTAGGTCAGAGGATATCTGTAAGGCACACGGATCCACATTTCTCACAACTTTCTAATTTATTGTCAAGTACTGAGAGCAAACTACTATCCAAGATCTTCACTTTCTCCTTCCTTAAAAGCTGCAGTTTTGTCAAATAGCATTCTATAGAGAATGTAATTTATAATTGCAATAAAGGGCATCACAGACTTTGTAGCTGGGTACATAAAAAATGACATTATTTTGGGACGTGAGAATCTATGACGTGAGAACCACCATCAAATCCAGACCCTTACTAGGGAAAGCTCTAGGGCTGGAGGTCCTCTAGGGGGGAGAGGTTGTGGGGAGAGGGGAGGGCTTTGGATACAGGGAAGGATATTATCTCTCTCAACCCCCCACCGACACACACCCTTTCGCTCCCTACCAGTATAGCATGGATGGTGTGATAGCCATGAAGGTTCCCATGGCCCATTGAAGAGACCTGCATTGGTAGACCTTGTCCATCTGCAGAAAAGGAGGAAGACAATATCCAGGGGCACAGGAGAATATCCTAAAATGCTTAATAGTAAGTAGAACTCACATACTGTTTACTATTGTTTATTTATCATCTTCAGAAGAAAAGCTTGATCTTGTCTTGGTATTTCGGGACATGGCCCAGACTAACAAAATAGAGTACACCTAAAGTGGAAGTGCTACAGCAGAGCCATAATCCAAGTAAACATTGCTAAACACCTACTGAATCTAAGCACAATTTGCATAATGACTTACATAAATGTCTTAATAGTTAAGGAAGGTCACTTGAGAGGCAATTTGCAGATACTTGCAAAGGATTTCCTTTGCTAGTTGTAGGCCATATGTCTCCTCTGATAAAACTGTCAAAGCTACTTAAGCAAAACCTTTATCATGATTTGTAAAACTTAGCGTAGTGTGTAACAATTAAACAAACTTGCACTGTTCCCAAAAAGTTCATTGTAAAAATCTCAAATACTGATGCTTCAAGTGAAAAGCCAATTCACTCTTTTTCTAATTCATTATTTTAATCCAAGGTTTTTAATTTGCCAAAAGAGTTGTACTAATTTATATCTGTGTCAAGCTATTTGTTTCAGCCATACTGTTTTTGTTTTTATTTGCTATTTAACTGGTTATTTAATTATGTATGCCACCTTGGGCAATTTTCTATTTGACAGGTGGCCTGGAAATATGGTAAATAAAAAGGTAAGGAGGAAGATTATGAAGGAGATCCACACATATGGCAGGTCTTTTTCCAAACAGCTGCCACATGATGGACTTGGCAACACAGTCTGGCCATAAAGGTCGAAGCTACCCAAGGCCTGCTGAAATAAAATGGCTAAAATCTGTTAATTTTGACACAGACTCTTCCTGGAGCATATTCATCAAGAAATAAACAGGAAATAAAACCTGAGAAAACAGATATCTCTTTCCCTTTTCCCAGACAAATTATACAGCTGGGATGTCAGAATCCTGCTATACAAATATCCCAAGTAATCCTGTGGATGCAATTCCATGGAGATTGCAATGTCTGCTTCAGCACATCCACATTTACTGCTGCTCCTTCCCATTGGTGATTCATGCAACTGCAATGGCTCAGAAATGTGTAGTTGTGTCCATAGCTGTACAAGGCAAGACATTACTTTTTCCACACAGCTGCTTTGCATAGAGCAATATTGCCAGCTTCTAGGTAGCAACAATGTAAAAGGTACTGACAAACAAATCTGCTTTAGTTCTATAACCAAAATGCAGGCATTCACCTTGTTGTGTCACTTAAAGGTTTGCACAGTCCAAATGTTCTACAACCACCATTTATGTGCTCCCCACAATAAATGCTGCTGAGGTGACTATGCAAGGGCCTGATGAAATTAGGAGATTAACCATCCTATGATTTCTTAATATGTATTTTGTTCCAGTACATTCAATGCCATCTGGAAGGACTAGCCACCCAGGGATTCAAGACAACAGAAAAACAGAAACGCATTACACTTTTTGTCTAGGTATGCCTAGACAAATTATCTACTATTGGCCAGGCAGATAGGAAAGAAATTAAAGATTTCTTTTGGAAGAAAATTTAGAAATTAAGACTTCTTTTGGAAGAAATGACACGGCATCGCATCTTTAGGAAGCTCGAGAATTTCTTGAAAAGGCGACAATGGAACAAGGGTGCAAGGCTATGCCTTATGTTTGGGCATTGCTACATCTATTTTGTGGAATTTTCTCCCTCTGGCATATATCTATGATGCTATGCCTTAGACCAGAAGTTCCCAAACTGTGGTCTGCAGAACATTTATTTAGATGGTCTGGTATATCCATACAAAGTATTCCTATTGGTTTTTTATTTTATTTCTTCTATTATTTGTTATGTTGTTATCTTATTGTAATACAAATTGAACTGCACTGTCAAAGGTATGAAAAGGTAACAGAGCTCCAAAAGATTCAACAAGGTCTACTCCCAATAGTTCCCTGTTTAGATTACCCACTACAGTAAACATGGATTTCCTTTTCAGGCCTAAAACTGGACTAAATGGACAATTTATATCCACCCAGCACTGAAATGGCACCTTATCTAGAAATTCAACAGAGACACAGCCTCATGGAAACAAATAGTGAAAACTATGGTTTAGTGAGATTTCTGAATGGACACCAGAAAACTAACCAGGCTCCAAGAGGTACATTTAAGAGGGAAAAGGCTAGTTTGGAACATGAAGCATTATTTTATTGAATGCACTTTAATATAGACAAGAGCTTGCACTTAATGTTTTAAATTTAACATTAAGCCATTATGTTAATAACTTATGGAAGTGCCTGGTACATAGTAAAGAGTATTTTAATTGATTTATTAAAAATGCATAGTCAAGCATTTATGATGCATCTTTTTAAAAATCCATGTACAGTGTTAGTTAATGGAAAATACTGTAAACTAGGTCACAATTGCACCTTTTTCTTCAGCATTCTTCCTTCATATCAGTTCACTAATGTTTCTTTAGAGTACTAAAAGTATAACAAAAGTTGCACTATTTAGCTAATTCTTCAGGACATTAAAGTGTTCAGAAGAAACTAAATTAAAGGATATTCTCACATTCTTCGTTAGGAAGGAAAACATAATCTCTGAGTTAAGAGAATGAAGTTGCCACACTGTTTAATTTTGGCAATAAGTTCCATGCTCTGTTCAACAGAGAAAAAGCAAAGAGACAACAGAAGCCTCTAATCTTATCCTTTCTTAGTGACATGAAAAAACAAGGCTTCTCTCAAGGAAAAATGTTTAGGCGTCTGTTTGGTAGACTTTTCACCCTAAAATTTTAGCTCTTCTTGTAAATTGGTTTGCTACACTTCCTAAATTGCTAGTAATCAAGTGTTACATTTTATCTATGTTACTAGTGTAGAATATTGGTTTACCATGACAAATTCATTTTCTGCAAGGGATAAAGGAGGCCCTTGGATGGGCTGTCCCCCCCCACTTTCTACACTAGGCAGGCAAGATTATAAAAACTGCCGGCATTTAGTCTGAGTGGGCTTGGTTTGTAAGTGCCGAAGCTAACAGAATAGCACCCCAAGAATAACAAGGCAAAAATAAAAACAGAACAAAGTACAGTGGTACCTCGGGTTAACAACTTAATTCGTTCTGGAGGTCTGTTCTTAACCTGAAACTGTTCTTAACCTGAGATACCACTTTAGCTAATGGAGCCGCTGTGGCGCCGCACAATTTCTGTTCTCATCCTGAAGCAAAGTTCTTAACCCGAGGTACTATTTCTGGGTTAGTGGAGTCTGTAACCTGAAGCGCCTGTAACCTGAAGGGTCTGTATCCCGAGGTACCACTGTAGTAATAGAAACAAAAAAAAACCATAAGGGGTGAAGAATAGCCCTTGGAGCTCCCTGTCTTGCAAGTGACTGCATTGTATTGTACTGGCAACAGCACTTCTCCCCACTGCAGTGACACCAATCACAGGGTGGCTCAGATCCCTTCCATTCCCAGCTGAAAATGAACTTCTCACAGTAAGTCCATATTTTTGCAGTGGAGGAGGAATATACCAAAGCAATCTCCAGTCAGGTAGGTATGCTGTAGCCTGGAAACTACTTACAAACTATGTGTTACAATACACACCAGTCAAAAGATGCTTCAGTAGATGTATACACATTTTTAGCTTGTGGCTGCTCTGCAAATGTCCCACAACTGAATGTCCCACAACCGAACATTAGACCCAAAGGCAGAAGAGGAAGAAGCACTTTTTTGTATAATTGGCAGCAACCC